TGGGGACTGAATTATGGGCCTGGGCGCTGTCCCTCAGCTCTTCAGCTCAAGGCTAGCACTCTACCACTTGAGCCACAGCACTACTTCTGGCTTTTTTCTTTTTGCTTATGTGGTGCTGAGGGATCGAACCCAGGGCCTCAGGCATGCAAGGCAAGTGCTCTACCACTGAGCCACCTTCCCAGCCCCTCAGCAGTTCTTTAAAACAGTAATCTACCTGGGTGCCAGTGGTTTATGCCTGTAATCCTAGGTACAATCCTCAGATCATGGTTCTAAGCCAGCTTGAGCAGGAAAGTCTGTGCGATTTATCTCCAATTAATCATTGGAAGGCTGGAAGTGGTATTGTGGCTCCAAGTGGTAGAGTGCACTAATCTTGAATGAAAAGCTCAGGAACAGCACTTAGGTCCTGAGTTCAAGCCCCATGACTGAAAAAACAAAAAACAGACGACTTGAGTAATACTATCTGTTATTATCTTTTCTCTTCTCTGGTGTGTGTGTGTGTATGTATGTGTGTGTGTGTGTGTATGCGTGCATGTACATGTACACGCACGTATGCACACGCGAGCAAGTGCTTGCAATTAATTGAAGATAAAAGTCTGAAGTACTTTCTTGCCTGGGCTGGCTTTGAACCATGTTCTTCAGATCTCAATCTTCTGAGTAGCTAGGATTATAGGTGTGAGCCGTTGGTGCTGGACTATTGTCTGTTATTTTGAGAAGGGTTTCTACATTAGGAGAAAAAAGACTGACATTCTAGAAAGATCCTTTGTGATATGTGCATGATTTTCTTCCTTCTAAGAAATAGAACTGAAATCCTCTCTTATTGACTATGAGCTAGACTTAGTGACCCACATCTGGTGAATGGTTGATATGGAAAAAGCAATGGCAGGTGGACACATTACTAATACTACACACAAAGCTTTCCTTGTTCTGTTGGAAAATTTCCCTGCACTGCCTGCATTTCCTACAGTATCTTAGAAAACATTTAAATAGACATTTCTCAATATCTATGTTTTAATAAAAATGAGACCCTGAGTATTTTGTCACTTACTGCATGGTTCTGGAGCAGGCAAGACCTCAGTATATCATCAGGAGTCATGTGGAATCCTTGACATTGTAGTCAACATGCTGTTCAGAACATCTAAGATGTGTATGTGTGTGTGTGTGTATGTGTGTGTGTGTGTGTATGTGTGTGTGTGTGTGCCAGATGTTCATCGATCTCGAGCCCCACATGTACCACTTAAAAAAATTAAGAACTCCTTATTTGATTCCTCCTCCCACCCATAAGAATCCAGAAATGCAAGTGAGTGAATTGCTTACAGGTAGATAGGTGGATTTAGCTCAGTGCACAGACACAGCCGTGAGATCAATTCTACCTGCATGACACAACTCAGGGAAATGGTATTCTTCAGTGTCTTCAAATAGATGTGTAGGCTTCGTGTTACTTTATTATTCCTTATCTCATAAAGTTCCAGCTTATCTCATAAAGCACCTTCAGGAACAAGGGGGCATAGTCTCCCAGACATTTCTCCCCCACTTCCTTACAATAGAGTCTTTATACTGAAATACATCATGTTTCTCTTACCTCAGTTAATATACATTGTTATACATATATCACTTATCTATTTCTACACAGCTTTTGACACTTCATCTCTTTACAGTATTGTTGCTCATCCCTTTCTAGATAGGTATATTATCTTTACAGCAAGAGCATGAGGTTGGAGGACTAAAAAAAAAAATCAAAGTATCAATATTAGTTTAGGATACAGTGCCTACTTTTATGTATTTATTATTTGTTTGGCTGTTTATATTTATTTGTTTGTGCCAATAGTGGGGCTTCAATCAGGGCCCCACTATTGCTCTCACTTGGCTTTTTTCGCTCACAGCTGTTATTCTGCCACTTGATTCATACCTCTATTTCTGGATTTTTGCTGGATAATTGGAAATAAGAGTATTGAGAACTTTTCTGCCCCAGGCTGGTTTCAAACCATGAGCCTCAGACCTCAGCCTCCTGAGTAGCTAGGATTAGAGGTACGCATTACCTATTTAGGAATCAGCTGTTGCTAAGGAAGATTGATAGATATCTGAAAAAAAAGTGCACAGTCTTGACTACAGAGCTGGAAAGTGTCTTGTTCTTTATCTTCATAGCTAGAATGTGTCTTGCTTTCCTTTATCTTGTTCAGTGATGGTTACTCATTAGGTTCTCTTTAAATATGTCATCAAAGTATCATTGGTATTGGGCATTCACCATGAATAAGCTCACAAGGTAAATGGTCATGCCTAAAGGTAGGAAATCCTGTTTTTACTACTTCTATACTTGTTTCCCAAGACCCTCCCTATACATTTGTCATCTATTCCCACTATCCCCATGAACACTAATACACAATGGTTTTTGCTGTAGCCAATGACAAATCAGAGAATCCACAACTGAAATTATAGTCCTGGAGAAACTGAGGCTGAAGAATCTGTATTGATGTCATATACTGCTCATCTAGGCCTAAGCTCCACTCCTGGCTGTCTCCCCCACTGAAGGACCTCTGCTGCTGTCATCAGAATTTTGAGCTTGGCCAGTGTTCTACCATCATATAGTCCCATCCATCATTCAAGGTTCTGAGAGACTGGTTCTGTTCCCCAAAGGTGGAATCAGACTCTGGCTTATGGAATAGGCCCAATATCTCTGAATGCAAGTGCTCCCAGAAAATCTAGCCTTACATGCTAACTTATAAAACAGGCTTAGAGCATGAAGATAAAGCTGACTCAAGTTCTGATCAAGTAAGTTTGTCTTCCATAAAAAGAAAGGTATGGAGATATTTGGCAGGAGGAAGGAACGTGTTTCATATTTTGATGATTTTTTAAAAGTAAAAAGTACCCTATCATTATTTTTTTAAGTAGCAGATTAGCTTTTTTGTCAAAAAAATCCTTTGTTTTTAAGGCTCCAAAGGGTTGGATTTAATTAAAGATGGCAACAAAAAGCAGAGAAAAGATCTCTGAACGTTTTCTGAAGGAAAGCTAAGGCAAGATTTTTAAAAAATGCTGGTCACTGGTGGCTCAATCATAGTACTGAGGAGACTGAGACCTGGAGGATTGAGGTTTGAAACCAGTTCCTGGCAGAAAAGATTGTGAGACTTCATCTTCAATTAACAAATAAAATACTGTACTGGAGGTATAGTCAAGTGGTAGGATGTCACATGTGAGCAAGAAAGCCTGAGAGAGAGAATGTGAGACCCTGAGTTCAAGTGCCATTAGAGGCACCATAAATAGTTTCTAAAAGAATAATATATACACATATTCATTACATAATGTAGAATATTTATTATATAATATATAAAATATTCGATATATCATGCATTATATATAATACATACACACATTTATATGTGCAGGTACCAGGGTTTAAACTCAGGGCCTCAAGCTCACTTAGCTTTTTTGTTCCTGTGTGGTACTCTACCACTTGAGCCACACCTTCAGCCCAACTTTGTGTTGGTTATTTTGGAGGTGGACTCTCATCAACTTTTCTGCAGGCATCAACCCATAACCTTCCAGATCTCAGCCTCCCAAGTAGAATAGCTAGGATAATTTTTTTAAAACAGAGAGAAGAAAGAAGAGGCTAAGAATAGAGTTGAGGGGTAGAGCACATGCTTACCATACACAAGGCCCTAGGTTCCATTGCAGCATTAAAAATAATGAAGGAAGAGGAGGACAAGAATAAGGAGGAAAGGAGAAAGGAGGAGAAAAAAGTCCTTTTGGTGCTGATAACATTCTCTTTATATCCTATGAAGGAAGGCTCCTGGGTCATATAAAATCTATTAAAAGTATTTGTATGTTATTCTGTTGTTAATATTTCTTTTTTTATGGGGACCTCATCTATGAACCTAGCAAGGGTGAGATGATATTTTTTCCTTCTCTACAGTAGTATTCTCTGAATCTACCCAGAAGCCCTTTCATCTGAAAGTTCAGACGTTTACTAACATGGTGTAATTTGTGAAAACCTATAAGGATCTAGGGATATGGCTCGATGGGAGAGCACTTGGCTAGTATGCATAAAATTCTGGCTTTAATCCCCAGCACAACAAACAATGGCAACAACATAAAAATATGTTCACTTGCTGGGCACTGGTAGCTCACACCTGGAATCCTAGATATTCATGAGGCTGAGATTTGAGGATTGAGGATTGAAGCCAGCCTGGGCAGAAAAGGCTGTGAGACTCTTATCACCAATAAACTACTTAGGAAAAGATGGAAGTGGTGCTGTGGCTCAAGTGGTAGTGCACTAGCCCTGGGCAAAAGAAGTTCAGGGACAGGGCTTAGGGCCTGAGTTCAAGCCTCAGGATCAGAAAAAGAAAGGAAGGAAAGAAGGAAAGAAGGAAGGAAGGAAGGAAGGAAGGAAAAGAAAGGAAGGAAGGAAGGAAGGAAGGAAGGAAGGAAGGAAGGAAGGAAGGAAAAGAAAGAAAGAAAGGAAGGAAGGAAGGAAGGAAGGAAGGAAAGAAGGAAGGAAGGAAGGAAGGAAGGAAGGGAGAAAGGAAGATGCCTACTCTATTTCTTGGATGTGACATAGAGAGAATTCAGCACAGAGACAATCATGGTATCAGGCTAGCTATAGATTGCTTCAGATGGTACTTTTAAAGCAGAGTCACAATATGTATAATGGTATTTAAGTTATTTTTTATAATAATACTACCCTTTAAAATTACGATGTTCACTGCCAGGGCTGTCTAAATGTCAGCTTTCAAAAAGGATTATATGTTTTGATTTTGCATGTAAAAGACACTGAGTATGTATTGAATATGAATGAACAACACAACGTTCAAAGGAAAATACTCGTTGCAGAAAACATGAAAGCAAATCAGTACAAATTGTGTCTTTTATTACCTAACATGCTGTTAGTGGGGCTCAAGAAATATTTACTGTTAAAAATAGGCTGGCCAGTGTGTCCTGAGCACTTCTGCTACACTAACTTAAATGATGACTAGAAATGTTTCCTTTGTTTTTCCTCTTTTATTCTGTAGATATTATTACTTGGCATTCAGAGCACATCAAACACCTCCTGCCAGCAAAGAGAGCTGTGTCGCGATCTTGGAAAAGTCCAGATTAAATCACTGGGTACTGGGGAAAACAAAGGTAGTTCTTTCTTTATTGTCACTTGTGATGCTTTCCTGTGTGTGCCTTTGTCTCTTGTCACTGATATCACTAGTAAAACAGATTTTATGGGCCAGGTACTGGTGGGTCATGTTTGTAATCCCTGCTACTCAAGAGGCTGAGATCTGTGGATCACGGTTCAAAGCCAGCTGGGGCAGGAAAGTCTGTGAGATTTTTATCTCCAATTAATCACTTGAAAACTGGAAGGGGCATGGTAGTTTAAAGTGGTAGAGTGTTAGCCTTGAGTTTTAAAGCTGGGGAACAGTGCCCACACCCTGAATTCAAGCCCCACAACCAACCAAAACAAACAAAAATGAAAAACAAAATAGACTTTGTAAGTGGTAGAGCTCAGAAGGCAAGATCCAAACCTAAATAGAATTTTCTAGTCTTGAGTCAGGAACCAAGTTACCTTATATTATGGGCCAGAAGAAGAGATTTGCCTGCTATTTATAATTTAAGAGTCATTTAGCATTTCTAGAATAGGGTTTATTTATTTATTATTTATGGTACAGGAGTTGAAACTCAGGGTTTCATACTTGCTAGGCCGGCCCTCTACCTCTTGAGTCACATCTCTACTTATGGCATTTCACTGCTTAATTTGAGGTAAGAGTCTCATGGATTTGTCTGCACCTGGTAGTACTGATGTTTAACCTCTAGACCTTTCACTTGCTAGGTAGGCACTCTACCACTTGAACCATTCTCCCCAACCCTTTCTACATTTATATTTCGGGTCAAGTCTTCTACTTTGCCCAGGCTGGCCTTTGATTGCAGTCCTCCAGATCTCTGCCTCCCATGTACCTGGAGTTACAGGTATTAACCTATCCAGCTTTAGAATGAGATTTTTTGAACTCCTTTCAAAATGTCTCGTTTAAAATACTTCATATTCTAGCACACACATAAACATGCTAATCAATTTAATGGCATTGATGAGCTTCCTTTAGAGTTTTGTTCATTCTCTTTTCATTAGATTCATGTATGTTCTTTATTGCATATCCAGATTATTAGATTCAGTATGCATGGCTTTTATTTTGGAGAACATTATGTCCCTATAGAATCTCAGTTTTTATGGTCCATCCCGAATCTCCTTGCAAAGCCAGGTCCAGTCTGAGTATAGCCTGAAGTACTGATGTTCCTCCTTAGAAGTTAGATCATTGTGGTCTTTCAGGTCCCTTTCTTCTTTTCTTTCTGGACTTCCTTAGTCAGCCTTGGCTGGGGTGGTTGGCTAGTACCCCATCTCAGGCTTTGGGACACAGGCTGTGGGGGGGCTCATGAGAATAGAGCCTGAGCTTTGTTCTGGAAAGAACTCCTTCCTGGCTGACATGAGGCAGGCCTGGAGAACATCTGGATCTTTGTCCAAATGTATCCTCATCATCTGCTGACGTCAGTAATCAAGGATTGGCTCAATGGAAGAAGGAAATTAATTTGCTCCCTAGCAGCCAAAAATATGAGTATAAATCAAATCACTAAAAACTCAATTCACATCATAGCTTTAGTATTTACAGCAAGAATAGAATGTACTGGTGGCTCATGCCTATAATCCTTGCTATCCAGGAAGGTGATTTCCAGAGGACTGCAATTCAAAGCCAGTCTAGGTGGAAGTCCATAAGACTCTCATCTCCAATTAACCAGCAAAATGCCAGGTTAGGAGGCCTGGCTCAAGTAGTAGAGCATAAGATGTGAGCAAGAAAGCTGAGCAAGAATATGAGACTCTTGAGTTTAAACTCTAATATCAGTGCAAATAAAACAAAATGTACTGGAATGGATTCGTTTGAAAGTTCATTTGTCATGATAAAATGAACGTCTCCTTTTCAGGTTTTTCTCAAATATTACCACATAGAGCAATTAAACTTGCTCCTTCGAGAAGTCATAGGCAGAGTGGTTGTGCTGCAAGCATACACCAAGGGGTGGCTCGGAGCCAGGAGATACAAAAGAGTCAGAGAGAAGAGGCAAAAGGGTGCAGTTACCATCCAGTCAGGTAAATAACCCACTCTCATGAACACTGCCCTAAGTCCTGGCATTTTACTAAGTCCTAGGGCCACTCACCTGTTGCTTTTCTTGGTGCTGGCTTTCTTGACCCTCTCTCCTCCTTTTTTTTTTCTGTCTCCTTCCTTCCTCCCTTCCTTGTTTCAACAAGTGTAGCGTCAAGTCTAGCTTCATACTAGATGTTGGGAATGTAGCCACTAGGAGCCCCTGTGGTCCCTGACCACAGAGAAGAGGCATACATGTCATTAGAACACACTGAATCAAGTGACAGAGACACTTGGCCCATCTCCAGACTGACTGTGTTAGTGAACATTCCACAACTTCATTCAGCATCTCCAGGAAGCGCTCTCAGGCCAGATGGACTTACAGATCAAGCAAACACATTCCTAGGCACTCCCGTGCCCAGGTGAGGTAGTGCCTCTGTGCACATACGTGTCTGTGTCATGTTCTCACACACAGCAGTTGCTCTGAGTAGGGAGCAGCAATGGTAAAATAACGATCTTGAGTGTGGTGGGTGAGTTCCTTCTCATGCTCATAATCCACAATCTCAGTGCCCCGCTCTGGGCCTCAGAAACGCACCCAGCAGGTTAGACAGTTGTGTAGAAGTGGGCATGCCAGACAGCTGCTCATCTCTGGATGGAAGTAGCTGACGCCCCCCCGCATTCCCCCCGACCCCGTCTCTGCTCTCTCTTCTTTGCCAATCTTCTTTGCTTTCCCCTTCCATCAAAGCTTCTTTCCCTTGAGTAACTTCTTTGCATAGACATCACCCTCAACAAATGCTAGTCATGGGCCTCCCTATGTCCCTGGTCGCCTATCTTTCTCACCAACCTTTATGTTTACGTTGCTCTCCCAAATAAAACACATCCAAGAGATCAGCCTGTTCCAATGCCTTCTGCCTTCCCTCCAAACCTCTTCCCCAGGCTCTGAATACAAGGTTTCCTCCATAGGTTGGAATGATAGAGAGCTGCCCCACCTGGGGTCATGGTCTGAGGTCAGTCACATGTGGAATTCAGACTGTTCTGGAAACTTCACTACTTGAACAAAAATGGCTCCTTGGAAGCATTTCAAGTGCTGAGAGCTCCCCCGCCCCAACATAGCTCCTGCAACTCTTCTTCTTTTGCTCAGTGAGAAAAGCAGGAGGGAGGAGGAGAGGGTAATATAAAGTTGAAGGGGAACAGCTTATATCAATTCTCTGGCACATTCTTAAATTAATGTCATTCCTAGCACATGGCTTTTTGTATTTTTAGCTTGGAGAGGATATGATGCTCGCAGGAAATTTAAGGAAATAAGCAACAGAAGGAGCGAGTCTGCTGTTTGCATCCATACAGGTAATTAGAGCATCATTTTTAGCAATGTCTATTTGAAAATATGCTATGATTCGCTTCAAATGAGCTTGGAAAGGCTAAGAATTCAGAAGCCCTGGAGAAGGTCCAGTTACTCCTCTCGCTTGCTGGGACATGTAAGAGGCAGTAGGGTCCATTTGCCGTGGGCCATTCTGGTCTAAAGAAGCTGTGGGATGAAACAGACGCAAAGTAACTTGTCATAGTCACACAGCTCATCGGGGCAAGGCCTACATTGCCACATTGCCACACAGCACTTTGGACTGCATCTGCTTTGTATCCTGCCAACAGCACCAATCCCCTGTCTTCATCTACAAAATGAGAGTACTCATTTAAAAAGTCTGATTAGCTGGGTGCCCTTGGCTCAGGCCTGAAATCTTAGTAACTCAGGAGGCTGAGATCTGAGGATTGAGTTTGGAAGCCACCCCAGGCAGACAAATCTGAGAGACTCTTCTTTCTTAATTAACTAGCAAAAAGCTAGACATGGAGATATGATTTAAGTGGTAGAGCACAGCCTTGAGCAGAAAACCTTAGGTCCCTGAGTTCAAGCCCTAGTACCCACCCCCCCACACACACACATTTCTTACAAAGTTTGCCTGCCTGTCATAATCACAGAACAGGAATGAGATTTTCCTAGTTGTCTGGGTTTCCTAAATCCAAGGCTTTGTGTGGCTAGCAAGGTCTTGGGGTCGATGGGGTGGGCACGCACAGTGGCTCTCAAGGATCAGCTCTTCCTTGGCAGTTTAAGCTGTTGTGAGCTCCGGTCACTGGCTCAACAGTACCCTCCCTGGCTTTCAGGTCACTCTGCTTTTCTACAAATGGCATGTCTACTAGTGGCACCAGGCTGGTTTCCCCTCTTATCAGAAGCCACATATTCCTAATTGAGGCTCTGGGAGAAACAGGCATGCCAAGAGCTCTGGGAGTGCAAGAAATTGTAGACAGAATGAGAGAGAGCATAGGTTGGTGTATTCAGAACAGGGTGTACTCAGGGTTTCAGAGACTGTAAGCATGGGGGTAAATTCTTCAGGAGACAGCTGCAGCCTTTTCAAGCAGACCAGGCCCAGCCCAAGCCCAGACCTGGGCCCAGGCTGCTGGGACTACCTCAGAACTCTTAGGCCATTGCAAAAGCCTGGTGTCTTCGTTCAGGACAGTTAGGGCAGAAGAGGTGCCATTTAAATGCCAATGTTCTCCTAGGAATTCTAAGCTCTACAACTTTAATACCACAGGGCAACAGGGAGAGGGGCTTCATTCTAGTTGTAGCTGAAGATGACATAGGATATATCCTTCTCTGATCTCTCTCTCTCTCTCTCTCTCACATGCACACACACACACACACACACACACACACACACACACACACACACACACACAGAGGATTTTGTCTCAGGAAGAGATCTTGCAATCTGACCCTAAGCCTAACATAGGTTTTAAAAGAAAAACATGGAGCTTGTGTATTGTTGATCCAATGAGTCTAGGGCATAAAAACCATCAATCTAGTTTTCCTCATGGAAAAAATCGCCTCCAGAGGACTGTGTCCCCGCCTTGTAAGCACGACTACATCAGGAACACCTCTCACCAGTGCAGTCTCAGGACCACTACCAATGCAGTGGCTATGGGGTGGGAACCATAGCACTCACAGAACTGAAACTGTCTGGTGGAACTGGAGGCAGCATGCAGTTCTTCAGGTGCCTTTTTGATTTGTTTAGCTTTGCGAACACAGTGGAAATGTTGCCAGCTATTGAGAACCATGTACTACCAGACTGTGGGGAGGCTTAGGCAGACATGAAGGTACCCAATGCCACCCCTGCCCAGTGAGGCTGCCAGGGCAAAAGCAGACAAGAAGGGATATGCCAGTTAGGGTTAGGACTGTGATTTTTCCCAGGGCTTATTCTCATGGCAAGCTCCTCTTGCCATAAAGACATTGCCTAGCAGAGCAGAGCAAGCTCCAGATCCAGCCATCTCTTCACTTTGGAAGCCTCCAAAAGTGGCCTAGGAACATGACAGTTTCTGAGGTTCATCTCTAATTGCTGACTTTTGCACAAATCAGTATATTTGAAATTTACATCCTATACTACACCTGGCCCATAGTATCATCTGCTTTATTTTTTTAATGGTGTTGCCAACTATGTTGTTGTTGCTGCTGTTGTTATTATACAATACTGTGCCAGGCCTGGGGTTTAAATTCAGGGCCTGGTGCTGTCCCTGATCTTTCTTAATCAAGGCTAGTGCTCTACCACTTGAGCCACAACTCTGCTTCTGGCTTTTTTTTTTTTTTGGTGTTTACTAGGAAGTCACAGTCTCATGGATGTTCCTGACCTGGCTGGCTTCAAACCATGATCCTTAGATCTCAGCCTCCTGAGTAGCTAAGATTATGGGCATGAGCCAGCAGAATCCAGCTTCTATTATGTATTGTTAAAAGAGTAGCCCTTGAAATTTAGGAAGCATTTGGCCTACATGGCTGCTGAGCAGTGCATATTGAAATTTGTTTTTCTTTCATCTCCTTCCCAGTAAATGCAGCCGCACAGGGTTTAGCCCTTCAACTTCCTCAGAACTTCCCCTCCGAATTCCCGATCTATTCCAACACATTCACACACCAGCAACAAGCTGCCTTCCCGAGCTGTCAACCTTTTTCATCTGAAATGTAAATTATTCTTGCTGGTATGCCTTGACAGAGATCAAAGTCAGCATTAACCTTCCTGGCTTTCTCCTCTGACGGACACTGGTAGGATCTCTGTGTCTCCACTCCCCCGCCCCCCCCCAGACACCCTCAAAAGAGGAGCCACCCTTTCAAAGACTCCCAGGCCTTTTATAAATGATCTCCTATGTACTTTAAACTGGGTGCAGGGTGATCTCTCCCACTGGCTAGTCCTGAGATCAGCCTGCTATGTAATTGTGGGATTCCTGGGGTGGGGTTAAATGGCTGTGACAAGGGTGGAAGGAAGGCCCTCCCTTACTCAGTGGGTCACTTCTGGCCTGTCAGTCTCTGAGGTAGGTCCCATTTGCATTTCCAAAATAAACAGCTGCCTTTCAAATACATGAGCTGGTGGGCTGAGATCTCTGTGGGCCCAGGCAGTGTTCAGATGCTGCAAGAGAAAACAGACCTCTGCCCAGCATTCATTTCCTCTGTGGATAGCCATGCAGGCAATAAAGGGCCTTTGTGAGGTGGGAGGGGGGAGGAAGGGGGGGTCTGAAGCCCCCAGGTTCTTGACTAATTTCACTTCGGGGCTGGGGAACAACTCTGAATGCCAGCTTGGGGAGAAGTGGCATGTTTCATCTTTTCTTTATCAGCTAATTCTGATCATGTATTTCTCACATGTATCAATGTTCATATAGATGGGATATTCCTTTTTTTTTTCTTTGTCTGTTTGGGGTTTGAATTCAGGGTCTGGGTGCTGTCCCTGAATCTCTTTGTGCTCAAGGCTAGCATTCTACCACTTGAGCCACAGTGCCATTTCAGTTTGTGAGTGGTTAATTGAAGATAAGAGTCTCATGGGGACTTTTCTGCCTGGGCTGGCTTTGAACCACAATCCTCAGATCTCAGCCTCCTGAGTAGCTAGGATTATAGGCATGAGCTACCAGTGCCCAACTATATGGGATATTCTTTACCAGGACTTGAACTCAGGGACTCAAGTAGGCTCAGCTTTCTTGTTCATGTCTAGTGCTCTACTGTTGGAGCTAAGCCTCCAGCCTGACGTTTTGCTGGTTAATTGGGTATGGAGTCTAGTGGACTTTTCAGCCTGGGATGGCTTCAAACCTCAGTCTTCCAGGTCTCAGCCTCTTGAGTAGCTAGGATTATAGGCACAAGCCACGGAGGGTATTCTAAGTAAAAACTGACAGTGTACTTATTCTATTTATTATTACTAATCTATTATTTTTCTTAGCTATTAAATATAGCTATTGATAGTGATATTTATTAACTATTATTTTTATTAGCTATATTGTATTAGTTAGTAAAACAAACCTAACTATATTTATTACACTAAAGTACATATATTTCCTTCTGAAGACTATCAAAATAACCTACAGGGAATTTTTTTTAAAGATCTAGGTCTCTTTCTTTGAACAAAGATTTTATATTTTTAAAATTCTCTAATTTGCGGTCTGTTTTTTAAAGACAAGTGGTGTGCCTCCCTTTGAAATGCTCTGACTGACAGCAGTATGAAGGTTCCTCAAAAGACTCTACATACAGCTCCCCTATAACCCAGCAATCCCACTTTTAGGCATTTACCCAAACAATCACAAGGCCGTACTAAAGCTATCAGCACAACTATGTTTATCACTCACCATAGCTAAGATATGGGATGCCCCTCAGTAGATGAATGGATCATCAAGAAAATGTGGTGTGTATGTGTGTGTGTGTGTGTGTCTGTGTGTGTGTATACATTCATACATACACAATGGAATTCTATGCCTCCATCAGAAAGAATGACACTGCCCCATTTGTTAGGAAATGGAAAGACTTGGAAAAAATTAAGTGAAGTAAGCCAGGCCCAAAGAAACATAGGTCCCATGGTTTCCCTTATTTGCAATAACTAGCATATGTTTAGGACAAGCAGAAGACAAAGGCCATGTACATATGACCATATGTACATATGACCATATGCTAATGGAGATGAGCCCAAGATAGGGACACAAGAGGTTTGATCTTTTTTGCTGTTCTTTTTAATGTACTTATAATGTCTATGTGATTTTTTTTGTTTCTTTGTATGTTCTTCCCCCATGACACAACTCCTTTTGTCACTGTATTTGATTCTGGTATCCTGCATCTTGTATATATATTTTACTAATTTGGGGAGGGGAAAGGAAATAACAAAATGCTGAAATAAGGATACAGGATGACCCATTGTAACAAAGAGATGTACAAGACACTATGTTGAAAACGAACTTTACAACTTTGGGGGGCGGAGGGAGGAATTGGGGAGGTGGGGAGGAAAGGGATGGTAGGGGAAAAATAAAGGAGGGTGTAATAATTCTCAATAGGAAATAGGCTCATTAC